TATGATTTTTATGATTTTGAGATTATATTTTTGAATTGAAAATATAAATTAAATTTTAGAGAAATAAAATACAAAATAAAAACGCAAAATACATTTGATAAGATTAAATATTCTTTAACTTATAATAAAAAACATAATTTTAAAATATATCCTTGTTTTTATTTATAGAAAACCTCTTTAATTATTATTTTTTGTAACTCAGTTGTCGTAAGTTTAGAAACAATGTACTATGCTTTGTCTTTGAAATAAATTTACCTTTCAAATTGTAACTTAATTGTAATAACTTGTGAATACTTACTCTATGTAGCTTTGAATAAATGCTATAGAATATTTTAAGCAGATGTAAAGATAGGAATACTTATGAAAAAATATACAAAAATTCAAATTTATGATCTTCTCTTTAATAATTAAATAGAAGAAAATAAGAAGGTTAACAACTCTAATAGAAATTGAAACTTATTAATTCGAAATAGAACAGCATCAATGGCTCTAAAAGATATAAGTAAATCCATAATAAAGTTACTGATGAATGCATATTTAAATATAGAAATAATAATATTAATATTCATCTTTCCAGCTTTCATTTTTCAAATTAAAAATTAATTTAGATATTTAAAATAAATCTTTAATTATTATTCTATCAAATTATAAATCGATAATTGGGGCTTATAATTTACAATTTTTTTTATTAGATATTGTTGAGGATTTCTTATGATTAACTTCAATTCTAAAACTCTTTTTGATTTTTATTAAGATATATTTAATAATTTTCGAGAAGACATGATTTGAATTCAGCTATAATTTTTTAGAGCATCAATTATTAATTTGAATATAAGATAAAGTACTTACATTGTATTATAATGTAATAATAAAAATATAAGAATTTGTATAAAATAGATTTTATTCATTTATTTTTTTCTTAATTAACTTTTTCTATTATTCACTTTAATCATATTTGTGATGTTTAATTTAAAATAGATATAATAAGCCAATACAAATTATGTTAATTTTTTTGATAAAATAAATTATTTATGGTAATTTATATCATTAATAAGATGTAAAGGATAATTAATTGATAAAACTGACAGTAAATTTTTGAGTGGTCTCTTAGTTTAAATTTACAGCAATAAATAAATTATTCTCTTAATCGATATTAAAAGGGTCTATTTAATATTTGAAGGGCTTGATTCTTAAATTTAATGAAATATTATTTAAAATTATTTATTTATTCTTAAAAAATAGCAAGAAATTTGACTTAATGAAGAACAATTATTGGTCTTCTTACACAAAGCCATTAAGCCATTCAAGCTGGAAATATTATAAATAATTTTGACAATAATATTATAGGTGTTATGCAAAGAATAATTAAAAATAGAATGCAAAAAAACCTATTAAATTTAAGAGGTTTTTAGATTTAATTGAAGATTTTAAGTAGCATATTTTTGACAGAATATTTCTATTCACATAATTGGAATTAGGTAATTTATATGGATGAGTGTTTATGTATGATGTAAAAGTTTAAATTCAGATTTAGATGACCATTTTTAAGTAAGATCGATATAGTGATTTATTGATGAACATATTATTTATAAAAGGCCCTCAAGTATTAATTTTATATTATATAAAATATTAATACTTTTCAAATATAGAGAGATATTGATTCAAAGAATGAGCAATAATGTTTTATAATTTTTTATAAAATTGAATTTAATAAAAACAATAAAAATCTCTATTTTTTTCTCATCTTTGTATTTAACAATTTAAGGCTTCAATATAAGAAACTTCTATTAAAGGTTAAATATATAAATATAACTTAATAATCCTTAAAATTTGTAATAAAAAGAAAAACTTAGCCATTTAAAACTACAAGTAAAGATTATTCATAATAAATATAATAAAATATGAAATCTTACTCTATTAAAATAGTTAATAAATTTTAATTAGATCAATGTTTAAAGATTGGTAAGTTTAATTGAATTTCTCATTTTATATAAAACTTTTTGGAATTAGTGATTAATAAATAATTTATTTTTTACAATCACATTTTAATATAATGTATCACTATTTCTATTAAAATTTATTTTTAAAATTACCTATAGATGAATAATCCTTTATTTTTGAAGCTGTTTAAGAATAGACCATAATTTATGTAATTTTAGGTATGATAATATAAAATCAATGAACTGTTTTTTTGATAGAAATACATAAAAATATGAAATGAATTCATAAATAAAATTTTTATGGATTAAAATCAGCCTCCTAGAGATTAATAGATACAAGACAGATTATTAAATGCTATAGATATGGTAGAAAAACAATTAGGTAATATTACAACTAATAACTTGAATAATATAATAATATTGATTGGAAAAACAGGTTCTGGAAAGAGCACAATTTTTAATTTTTTATGTGGAGCAAAATTTTAAATAATTCAAGATTAAGATGAAAAAGAAGTATTAGATCTTCTGGTTGAATCAGATTAGTTTTAAAAGATGAAAGGAGGTTTAGATTCAACAACAAAATTCCCAAAAATTTATTATTCATAATAGTATTAACATTCAATAATTGATTATCCTGGATTTAATGATACTGAAAAAAAAGATTAGTTAGAAATTTAATTATTGTTTAATAAAATTGTGACTATACATTAAATAAAAATTGCTTATGTAATTTATAATGCAATTGATTAATTTTAAAATAAAGCTGAAGATCTTTAAGAATTTATTCGTGAAACAGAAATTGATTTAAGTAAACTAACTGTAATTATTAATGGTTATTGTAAAAACAGATCTGATGAAAAATTAATTGCTGACTTTTAGCAACAATTAAAATAGAAATTCTAAAAATCAGCTTTAAAAATGATTATATAAAGAGATGCTGATACTTAAGAAAAAATAGAAAAATATTTTTCAGAAGAATCTAGAAACAAGCTATGGTTAAACTTAGTTTAATCTGAAGTAATATAAATGAAAAGATATGAATTAAATGCTTATAAAGATGCTGATTATTATATAAGCAAAAAGAGTTATGAAATATAGAAGATTTTAATAGATTATATTGATAAATAAAAAATTAAATAATATACAATATTTTAATTAGAAGAGTTTAAAAAAAATATTGAAGAATTGGATAAAAAAAAAACAACCTTAAAAAGTTTTATTGATGGAAATATAAATGTGTTAAATTAAATTATGAATTATTGTGATTAATTTAATGAGGATGAAATTATTGCAACATAAAGAATATATTTATTTTTTTTGGATTCTGAAAATGAATTTAGATAAATGGATAATTACATTAGGGATGTTTATAAAAATCTAGTTCTTTGTATTGAATTTTTAAATATTAAACTTTAATTCCTTGAAGAATTGAGAAAAGCAGAAGATAGAATACTTTAAATATAAGAAGAAAAAAAAACTATGAAAAATGAAAAAAGGGAAGTGGAAGATAATTTAAAAAAAGTATAAAATGAATTAAAATTAAAAAATGATGAATTAATAAATACTAAAGAAAACTTTTAAAATTAAATTTTTGAATTACGTAAAATAAAAGATGAAACATAGTTGATTTTAAATGGATAATTAAATGAAAATAAAAATTTATAAGAAATTATAATAAAATTGGAATAAGAATTAGTAATTCAAAAAGAAAATGAAAAAATGCTAAATGAAATTAGACTTGAAAAATAAGAATTGAACCATAAAATTTAAGAATAATTAATGATAATTCAGGATTTGAAAAGTGAATAGTAAAGGTTAGATCAAAAAAATAAGGAAATTGAAAAACAATATAGCAATAATGTTGAAAAATTAGAAAATAGCTTAGATTCCACAATTGAAGAATTAAAAGAATTTAAAAAAATAAATATGGAAATTTAAGAAGAAAAGAGAAAATTAGAAGATTAATTAAGTATAGTCAAAGGATAACATAAAGAAATAGAATCTGATTTAAAAATATCTAGAAAAGAATTTGATTAACAAAAAGAAGAGTTTTAATTGTTAAAAAATATCTCTAATACCCAAATCTAACGTCAAAGTTAAGAAATAGATGATTTAAATTAACAAATTTAAAAATTGAAACAGGAAAAAGAGTAGCTTTCAAAATAAATGAAAAAATAGGAAGACGAATATTATGTTGAAAAAAAATAATTTAGGGATAACGATTTTTAACTTCAAAAATCTTTATAAAATGTATAACAAAAAAATGAAGAATTGTAAAAAGAATTGAATTCAAAAACTCGAGATTTAAATAGTAGAAATAATGAATTTTAAGATCTGAAGAAATAATTTAGCAATTCATAGAATGAATTAAAAACAAAAATAGATGAAGTGAAGCATTTAGAAAATAAATTAAAAACAACAGAAGAATAAAATAGAGATTAATTAAATAAATCTAACAGTTTATTAGAAAAAACTAAAAGAGATAATGAAGAATATAAAAGGTTGAAGGAATAAGAGATTTAACAAATTAAATTGAGGTCTTTGTAAATTAGATTCTAATTGTTAGAGAATAATTCTATTAAATAATAAAATCCTTGTTATGCTGTAGCTATTAATAAAGATAATTCAATAGTTATAGCAAGTAGTGGCAATTTAATTAATGTCTATGATTTAAAATATGGAAAATTAAATAAAAGATAAGCATTAGATTAACATAAAGATTTAGTTTATACATTAAATTTTATGAAATAATCAAATATGTTTATATCAGGAAGTCACGATTAATTAATCATAGTATGGTAAATGAATTAAGATAAATAATGGACTTATTAATAAAAAATATTTGGACATTATGGTAGTATTCGCTGTATATTATTGAATAATGAAGAAGATCTGATTATTTCAGGTAGTGTTGATGGTTCAATTAAATTCTGGGAAAAATAATCAAAATGGACAATTTAATAAACTATAACAGAACATACAGATTATGTATACTAATTATGTTTGAATGAAAAATAAGATAAATTGATTTCTTGTTCAGATGATTCATAAATATTTATCATTTAATAAAATTATGATAAAAAATGGATTGTAAAATAGAAGATAACGGTAGATAAATATGGCTATCGATTGTGTTTTATAAATAATAATTAATTTACATTTTAACCTTATGCTTAAGAATAATTGCATATTTACGAGATTAATGATAGTAAAACTATTAAGATCAAATCTCTTAATATAAAATGTGGATCTTTGAGTTGTGATGATCTATTTCCATCTAAATATATATAATCAAAAAGTCTATTGGTCAATAAAAATGGATAATATATCAATTTAATTAGAAAAAAAGAAAATGGAGAATTTTTTGTTGAATAAACTATTGAATTTGATGATGATTCTGTTTATGGATCAATTAGTGATGATGGTCAATATTTGATTACATGGGATAATGCTACATAGGAGATATAAATAAGAAATTCTTAAGAATTATGAATATAATCAATATTAACATAAAATATAAACATAATAATATAAAAGGTTATTCTTTAATTATTACAATTAAGGAATTAAATAGTATATCGTAATATCTAATTTTCTATTTTTCTTCTAATTAAAACATTTAAGCATTATAATTTGTTTTATTTTTTTCTTCTGAACTAAAGTTTTATTTGAAGCTACAGAATGTGATTAATAATTACATTTTAAAATTAATAATAATTTTTTATTTAAGTTGTTACTCACATAAAATAATACTTAATCAAAGAAAATTTATTTATTCTATTTATAATTCCATACCTACTTTCAAAATGTTTTATCCTCAAATACATTAATAACCCCTAATAAAATTTATATAATTTAAATTAATATCAAACTTAATGTAAAATGAAGATCAATCCATCAGTCTCTTATTTTTAATTGTACAAAGTTTAAATAAAAAAGAAAAAGAATTCTATCATTATAAAATAAATATTGTTTTTAGATTATCACAAATCCAAATATTTATTCCCATTTTCATAATGTAAAATAATAAATAAATTATGAATTTTCAATAATAACATTTTTGAAGTACAATATTCAAATAAAAACTCCATCCAGAATGATTTATATTAGATTTCTCTTGTTTATTCATTTCTTTATAAAATAAAGAGATAATTCTTAAATAAAACTTTGAATTTATATTCTAAATTTTAACACTATCAATTTCAAGTTATGATCAAAGAGGATGTTAGATTAATTTAAAAATATTGGATTTATATATTCAGATAACATTGATTTTTTGAATCTGTTCTATATACTCTCATATTTTAGAATGCTCTTTTTTAATTCTCCATTTCTTTTTTTTCATCATATAATTTTTAATTTTGATTTTAGATTATAGGAAATTTTTATTTCAAATCTCTTTTATAAAATATAAGCAATCTTAATTATTTTTGTATTCATAAAAAATTTTCTCTATATTAATTATTACTAAGAATAATTCTGATTTTTATATATAATTTTTATGAATGGAATATCAAATAAAGTCGATTGTTTCTTATATTGTTAAAGTTTGGTTTTTGTTGCCTATTATTCGTTGTATTATAGTAATTATTAATTTCAAATGATTTAATATTATATAAAATTAAATTGAAATTCATGAGTGGTTTATCATATTTTTTAAAAAGTGATAATTAAATAATTCTGAAGAAAAAAAAACAGTGAACATAGAATAGAATTTATAATTTAATTCGGCTCTAGGATTAATAATAAGGATTAATATCAAATATTTTTTTTAAATTTAGTATTGACCTATTATTTTTTTAAGATGGCAATATATTTAATAAATATTCAATAAAATTTGCATCATGATATTGATAGAATAATTTGTTTCTTTCTCTATTGTAGCATAATTTTACAATTCATTCCAAAATTAAATTTATTGATTCTTTATAGATAAATTTAAATCTTGGATTAAAAATTTTGTTTTTTTCTAAGAAATGTTAAAATAAAAAAAGGTAAAAGTAAGAAATTTGATTTGATTGCTTATAAAATTGCATAAATGATTAAAACTATATTATCGAATTTGAGTGTAATGTGTAATGACTTCACTTTGCTTGTAAAGATAAAAAATAAAAGAAAATTTATCCTTAAAAATTTTATAATAATTATTATGAATCTATTATCGTTAGAAAAAAGTTCCCAAATTTATTCCTTATATTAAGATGTCTTTTAAATGAGATAGAAATAATAGCAAAATATAAATGTTTAACGAATTAATTGATCAAAACTATCTTAATTTATAAATTAATATATTTTTTAATTTTTTAGAGTGTCTGTGATCTTATTTTCTAAGCTCTTTTTCTAACTATTTGAAATAGTAGAGAACAACTTACAAAATCTACAAATTAATGATTGGATACGAATCAAGAGTTAAATTTGAAGAGATGAATAAAAGTTATAAAATTTTTAAGAATGAAATTTATATTCTGATTATATAAATAAAATAAGCAAATTAGGTCAAAGGGATTTTAAATTAGATTATTATATAATGTAAGTTGTATACATTGATTTATTTATCTATTAAGCTTTTTAACTTTATTATTTTTAAAGATTTCTTTTGTTATGTTTAATACTAAAAATGTAAGAAATGAAAATAGTTTGATAAATTTTATAAAATAAATTAATGTCAACTCATAATACTATAATTGATTACTAAAAGTAATATGTGTCGGATATGAAATGCTAAAATGAAATGTGAAGTAGATTCAAGTAAATATGAATTATTTATGATAATTATTTTTGGTGGAAATCTAAAAATCTATAATGATGGATAAAAATTGATATGTAATTTATAGCTATTTGGAACGAAAAGAAATAGTTCATATAAAAACTTATTTATGGGATGATATAGAATGTGTTTTTAAGGTAGAAAGTAGAATGAGTTGAGCAATTATTTTCGAATGATGTTGGATAATATTTTTGGCATTATTTAGGTGAAAATTAAAATAGTAAGAAAAATAGGTATTATAAAAAGAAAATCTTTTTGATTTATTCTGAACTAATTATTAATTAACATTAATATAACTGTTCCTCAAAGAATTTCTTATTCAATGATGCAAATATTATATTTTCCAATATATATTTTCCTTTTATTCACTTAAATTCTTATTTGATTATATCTGATAATCGAGATATGTTAACTGTAAATATTTAAAAAAAGGATATTTTAATTCAAATTAAAGATTATAAATAATGAAGAAAGATTGCAATTTCTGTACTGATGATCCAAATAATGATATTTGGATAAAAGAGGCCAGAGAATATTAAGGATTAGCATTAAATAAAATGGAAGGATTGATTAATAGTAAATTTTTCATCATCAATACTAAATTTAATGAATTGATATATTTTAGTGATGGAGAGATTCTTAGAATGTAATTATAAAGAAGGTTTATATAATAGAGAATAAAATATTGATGAATTTAAGAGATATGAGATTTAATCTAATATGGAACAAATTAAGCATAAAATTTGGATTGGAAAGTATAAAGAAAACTTAATTAAATATGGAAAATGGAATGCTTTATGGAAAGGTTAAGCTGTAATTGGAATTGGTGGTCATTATTTAAATGATGGGAAAAAATAAGGTCTTTGGAAAGAAATGATAATTAATTTTTGGGAGTATTTATTAAATTATCATTTTTAGTGATGCAGAAGTATATGAAGAAGGAGTCTATATAAACAATTATAAAATAGGAACTTGGAAATTTTTAGATTATAATACAGAGATGTAATTGAGAAATACAAATAATTTAGTGGAGGTGGTATATATAATAAAGATGGAATGAAAAATAGTAAATGGATAGATATATGTTATACTTGGTAAAAGTAAATGATTTATAGAATACTATATAGATTAAATAAAGAAGTCACATATGTTGGTGAATATAAAAATGGAAAAAAATATGGAATATGGTATACTAGAATTGATGGAAATAGATTTGTGTAATATAATTTAATTTATAAAATATATAAAGTGGAGGTGGATCATATGATGAAAATGGTATGAAAAATGGAAGTTGGGTAGATATTGATGATAAATGGTTTAAGTAAATTTAAAATATATATTTTTTAGAATATTTCATGAAATATATTATATTGGAAAATATGCTCGTGGTTTAAAAATCGGAAATTGGAATATCAAGACTAGTAATGATGATATTCAGTAAATATTTTCATATATGATATCAATTTTTAGAGGAGGAGGATTATTTGATAAAAATGGTAATAAAATAGGTGAATGGATAGAATTTTTGGATAATTGGTTAAAGTATTGGATTTTTTGTTTATCTTATTAAATTTAGATTCAAACGAGATATTATTTTAAAAGGTCAATATTTAAATAATAACAAATATGGAAGATGGGATATAATTGAAGGAAATGAAAGAATAATGTATAATTTTATTGAATATTTTAGTGGGGGTGGATATTATGATTAAGATGGATTAGAAAATGGAAGTTGGATAAATATTGATGAAAATTGGTGCAGGTATATTGAATAATTTTTAAGGTTAGAAATTTTAAAGAAATTACATATCAAGGCAAATACAAGTAGGGTAAAAAAATAGAAAGATGGAATATTATGTTGGAAGAAATTTAAATAATGTATATTTATTTATTATTAAAAGAGGAGGAGGGGAGTTTAATTAAAATGGATACAAATAAGGAAATTGGATTTGTATAGATGAAAATTGGATTAAGTTTAATATATAAATTAATAATATATTTAGACATGAAAGAGAAGTCACTTATACTGGCGATTATTAAAATGGAATGAAAATTGATAGATGGGTTATAAATTAATAAGATAACTAAATTATGTATTATTATAAATATTTTAATAAAGTGGTCAAGGATAATATGATAAAAATGGATTGAAAAATGGTATTTGGTAGTGTTTAGATAATGATTGGATAAGGTATATATAGGATTAAATAATTAAATAGAGTTATTAGAGAGGTTACATATGTAGGGTAATTTGTAAATGGTGTAAAAATTGGAACATGGAAAATTATGGAAGGAGATAATCATATGTACATATATAAAATAGTTTATAAAAGCGGAGGAGGATCATTTGAAGAAGATGGAAGAAAGAATGGAAAATGGGTAGAATTATGTGAAGAATGGAGAAAGTATAACAAATATCATTATTAAATAGGTAAAATAGAAATGTGAGTTATAATGGGGAATATAAAATGGGGATTAAGATTGGAAAATGGAATATATTTGCAAATGAAAATGGATAAAATAAAATTATGTAATATTTTTATAATAAATAAAGAGGTGGAGGATAATTTAATAATCAAGGTATGAAAGAGAATAAATGGGTTGAATTATGTGATGATTGGATGGAGTAAATATATTATTTTATTATTATTTTTAGTATTAAATAAATTACATATAATGGAGAGTATATAAAAGGTTAAAAAATTGGTAGATGGGATATTATTGAAAATTAAAATTAGCTTATGTAATTTATTAAAATAAAATAATATTTAGTGGTGGAGGATAGTATAATTAAAATGGAAAGAAATATGGTAAATGGGTTGAATTATGTCATGATTGGTGTAGTTGTAGTGGTTTTTTTTTAAAATAAGTGACATTGAATGGAGAGTATAAAAATGGAACTAAAATTGGTTAATGGGATTATATTAATGCCAACAATGTAATCAGGTATCATTTAAATACTATTAAAATACTTTAGTGGTAGTGAAACTTATAACACCAATGGTATAAAAATTGAAGAATAGTGAATTATATTATAATCCTGATATAAATATATATATCTATAATAATCCTTCATTTTGATTTTATAATTTACCTATCTAACTAGAGCTTTTATATAAAATTTTCTAGTAGTAAAGGAAAAAAAATTTTAATTTATGTAATTGTTTTTGAAGTTTTAATTGATTTTCTTAATTTTATCAAAAATCACTACTTTGTAATGATTTAAGTTCATTAAAACAAATTAAAGTAGGTGTATATTAATTTCTGGATATGAAAGGATTGAATTATTCTATTTCAACCAAGAAATCTAAGGAAAAAATCAAATTTAAAATATGGATGGAAATTTTATAAGGAAATTACAAAATTAAGTGATTATGTCAAAAAGGAATAATAATTATAAAGATTTTATGAAAATAATTTGGAATTTATTATTTAATTATAAAGAATATGTTATTAATGAATCTTAAAAGCATTTTTGACTGTTGGTTATCTGTCTATATTATTTCTATTTTGCTTTATAATATTAAGACTTATGATAGGATTTATAGGAGAAATTTATTGATAAAAGGATCTTGTAAATATTTAAATTTAATGATTTCAAGAAGTAGCTTACATAGAGATAAAGAACATATATTGGTGATAGCAAATATATGAATATAAAATTAGTTTTAAAATGAAAATATACTGATTTATTTTAGAATTATGAAAAATCAATTTAATTTTAGAAATGGTTTCGTAAAATTCATTAATGAATAAAAAATAATGATTTCAATAATAAACTAAAAATAATTTCTCTAATTTTAAGCAACCTTTAGTCGGATTGCTCAAGCATATTTAAAGTTTAATTGATTAAATGTTCTAAATTGATAGTAAAATTCAGAATTCCTAAATCTAATGCCTAGACTTATGATCAATAGAATAGAATTTGTTATATATTAGAACTTTTAAAAAAGGTTAATGTGTATCATTATTTTATCATAATTTTACCATAAAAAAACTCAGATTCTTCTTATATGAAATCATGTTTATGACTTTTCTTTTTGCAATCAGAACCAAAAACAGCAGCTTCATTTATATAATATATTTTATAGAGAAAATATTTCTTAGTAAAAACTTCATGAGAATAATGCAACTTTAATAAACTTTTTTATTGTGAATAATTAAAAAACTAAAAATGATTTATGGATTAAGTTCAAATTATTTTGCTTATAATTATAAACATAGTATCAAAAATATTGGGACTAAAAATTTCTAAAATTTTTTGAAAATCCATTCTTCATCAAAATTTCTGTTACAATAATTTAGTAGTATATTATGCTTTTAAGATAAGAGAAATTTTCATATTTATCTAATCATAAATAGATTAATTTATCTAAAAGATATGTAAGAATATTTCATAATTAAATAAATTAACAGTACCAATTTAAGAATAATTATAATAAATTTGTAAAATAATTGATATATTTATAGCTAATTTTGCTGTTAAATGCTTTATGAAAATTGAAAAAAAAATTCATTTAAAATTGATGATTGATTTTTTTGATAATTTTAAAAATCAAAATGTTTTGAAATATTTACATAATTAAAGATATAAAAAATATTATGATTTATAAAAATCAAATAGTTTGAGATATAATAAAGTTTGATGAAAATGATTAAAATAAATTAATTATTAAGTTCATTCATTCAATATCTTAATCTTCTCCTAATCCACATTAATGCTATCCTTCTTATGTTAATTCTTCATAGTCTTTACTAAGGGCAAGTAAATCTTCTCTACATTCAGACATTTCACCAGATTCACATCCTTCTCCAACAAACCAATGAACAAAGGCTCTTTTAGTATAGAGCTAATCATATTTATTTCCAAGAATATCAAAATAATTATATACAGAAGCATCATTAGATAAAAATATACCAGTTTACTTTAATTAGGCTAATTCTGGAATAACTACATAATTTTTGGATTAACATTAAAATATATTAGGAGCTTCTTAATGTTTAATTTTAATATTTTATAGAGTTAAATTAGTTTAACCAAAAAATGGATTCTTATATTTAGAACGATGAATAAAAGAAGCACAAATATAATTAGGTTTAATTTAACATTACAATAATCTTTATTCTGCCTTAGTTACATATGATATAAGCGATTTTTCATTTAATTCTTAATTAATAGAGTCATCAACAGATGCCAAAGGTCCATATTATGGAATTAAATAATGATTTCTTGGATAGGGACAAAGCCCAGAAAATAATTTATTGTTATCAATTTTACTATATCTTCTTAGACCTGTATAAGTACTAATAATTTATGCTACTAGATTATTTAAGTGAGGATAATCAACAAAATCTAAACCTATCTACAAATCTATGACTTTATACATAGATTCATTATCTAGCATAACAACTGAATTAAAATGTTCTAATGTCATATGTGTTGCTAAAACTGCATTATATGC